CATGAACCATGATTCAAATCATGATATGAATCTATTTACTAAACGTCTTGTGCGGTGTCCCAAAATACCCCATTCCATTGATGATCGTTATGATTACACACTATACATATATATAATATTTTGAAATTGAAGATGCAAAATTCATTGGAGATTTTTTTTTTTGAACGGATTGAAGATTTGAGGAGTTTATCCTTGTTAAATATGCACCAAGTCCCTCATTCTCCCTATAATTTAACCTCATAATCCTATCCTCATTCCCGTTTAGTTTGCTGATTCGAGTTTTTAATTCGAGTTGAGATATGATTTTATGTGAGAGCTTTTTACTGTAGTAAAAAAGTTAAATGTGACTGTTTTTTAAAATTTTTTACTGTAATAAAACTCGACTTCTAAACTCAAATTAGTAAAATAAACGGAGACACTGAATCCATAAAAGCAAGAGCCTAAGCCTTTAAGCCAAAACAAGGTGCCACGCTTGAAAGCGAACCCATAATGATTTGGCAAATCAGCAACTTTGTCAAAACCCAACCAAAGTTCACGAGCAAAGCAAGCAGATCAGTAGCACATGATAACCCTGAGAGAGGTGAGTGTAATGTTGCCCATCTGTTTTTTTTTTCCAACTTGCAATTATTTATTGTTTTTGGCTCCAAGCATGACATGTTTGAACGCTTTGCAAGAGTATGGTCAACCTTATGATTACACCATATGCTTTTTTTTGGTAAACAAAAATACTTCTTTGTTTTCCATAAGAATCCTTAGGACCTAGAGCTCTAAGTTTCGGCCAGGCCACATGGGCCGGCCTGATACCCGTCATTATTATCTGGTATGATCTTAATTTTAGGGTTGGGTCAGATTAAAGTTTCAGGCCCAAGCATATTCAGGCTGAGTTGGCCCGACCTAAATATTTGCTTTTTAAAATATTTTTTTGAAAATTACTTTATAAAATTTTGGGCCAGCCTAAGGCATGTCGGCTTTAAGAGTCGGACTAGGCAAACCCTCTCCCCTTTACAGCCAGACCGGGCTTGTCAGGACCGGAATTTTCATTTGAGCTGCCGATTCACCTCTATTAGGACCTCATACTGGTAGTGTCTATTTTCAATCGTTGGAACTAATCAAAATCATATCTTACTAATAAGGTATGCAAAGAAGATAGTTTTTTTTAATCAAGATCTGACGGTTAAAAAATCTATTGGTGCTCATTTTTTCAAGAACTGTCGTAGAAATCTATTTATTCTGTACTACTTTTGTAAAGATTTGGACTCGTATTTTTATCTAGGGAGTTAATAAAAAAGTCTTAAGGTAGGGTATACCGGTTACATTGACATTGTATGTTTATGACGTTAAATCTACTCAAAATTAAATGAAAATGAAAAAAAATATATAAAATTAACAAAGCTTGATATATTTTAAAATAGATTTTTATGTCAGACCTTGATGATTAAATAAACAGAGAGAAAAGGATGGAGACGAATAGTAGAATTGACAGAAGTAGAAAATTTAGAGCAATGAGAACAAGAGACAAGGAATTTATAATATTCGAGAAATTCATAGTGTAAATCTTGAACTAAGCGAGATTTAAATAATGAATTTAATGCAGATCAAAATTAGAAGTCTTTTTAGAATTAAAAATTATTTTAAAATATTTTATATTTTATTTAATGTTTATCTTTAGGTTATTTGAGTTTGATTATTATTAGGAGTTAATTTATTTTACAATTACTATGTCTATAAATATGGATGATATTTGTACAATGTTTCGGTTAGACCTTGATGATTAATAAAATACAAAGGTTGTGTTTAGAATTGATCCCGTTTTTATTTTTCACATTTTTCGAGAAAGAAAAAATAAAAACGTTTCTAAAACGGCGTTTGGCGCAATAAAGACAAAAAACAGAAATGAAAATGATTTTTTGGTTTAGTGTAAAATGAGAAAAAAATGAAAAATAATTTTTAATCTTTTTTAATTTTTAATTTTCGTTTTCTCCTCTCTCGAGCAGAGAGAAAGATATGAACAGATATAAACATTAATGGATTTTTTATATTGAAAATAATATCTTGATAAAACTAGTAAACACATTTTTAAAAATAATTTATGTCTGAATTAAAAGCATTTTCATTTTTATTTTCATATAAAAAATAAAATTATTTTAAAATGAGTTCTAAACGCACCTAAATATTTTCCGTTCTCTGGTTTTTTTCTTCCTAAATTCTACTATTTCTTCCCTTCTTTCCCATGTATTCTTCTATGAAAATATTCATTTCACCATTCGAGTTTAGAATTCGAGTTTTGTTATAGTAAAAAGCTCTCAGAAAGGGTCACATCTAACTTTTTTACTATAATAAAAAAATTTCACATAAAATCATATCTTAACTCAAATTAAAAACTCAAATCAGCGAATTAAACGGCCATATATATCTCAGCCTTTACCGTACAAATATCTGATTTACAACCGGTAATAAAAACAAAGTCAGAAGCCGACAATCTTCAGTTTGGCGATTCAAGCCTGCAGGTTTCCTTGGTTTCTTTTGCACCTAATTGGGCCGCGTTTCTTGGAAGCCCAAAGACTACTTGGAAGGATAATAAAGGTTGCTTCGAAAGTTTGAGATTATTGTTATTCGGTTAAGCTTGACATTTCAAGCACTTTGTTTCGCTTTTTGCTTTTTAATTTTAGCAGCGGATTATTTTTTATTATTCTTCACCATGAAATTGTTAGTTACCGAAAGGATTTCAGATGTGAAAGTGTGTATAGTGTAAGTCGTGTATAACAAAAGTTTATATAAAATTTTTGAGATATTCTATAAATTACATTAATTTATATATATTAATTTATTTATTTAACGACCGATTATGACAATAACTTGAATTATTTGACCTCGAATGTTTCTCATTTCAAGCTAGTTTAGAACACATGAATCTTTCTCGTAAATTCTTAGAATATACGAAAATGTGTGTGTGGGCACACTTGAAACAAAATGGGATTAGTAAATAAACACTCAAGTTTTCCAAGAACATCAACACATGCACAATGTGAAATTTAGGAGAGAATTTTTCCTTTTCTTACTCTATAAAATCGGCCACTATAGTTAGGGGAGAGCAAAAAAATTGTGTTATCCAATTTTCAGCAATCTCCTATTTATAAAGTAGTACTCAGACTCTCAGAAAAAGTCTAATCTTTATCTCAAAGATAAAATTTGATAATTATCTCTAACTTCAAATTTAATTTTGAAACAAAATCTTTCTCCCTTATCCACATGTCAATTTTAACTCAAATTCAAATTTCAATTTAAGTCAAACTTAAATTAATTTGAATTTCAAATTAGACAACTTATCAAATAAGTCAATTGCATAATTTGGAGAGCAAGCAACTGAATCCGCGAGGGATTCACATTGCACTATGTGTTCACACTATGTGAACACATTCACACGTATATTTCAAAATTTAAATTTAAATAATTACATTATTTAATTTATAATTAATTCTCAATGAATTATTCTTGAGCGTTTTATTTTAAAATTTCATAATTATAAAATTTCTAATTTTACCCTTAGTGTATTGTAGGATTACAAGGACGACGCAGGGACTCATGAAATTATACATGAATTATAGGTCCATGAATTAAATTTGAATTTTGAAAGTGTTCACATGGTGTGAACGCACTTCACAGTGTGAATCTTTTAGGATTTAAATTTCTTGCTCTCCATAGTTATCTAATTAACTTATTTGATAAGTTGTCCAATTTGAAATTCAAATTGATTTAAGTTTGACTTAAATTGAAATTTGAATTTAAGTTAAAATTAAACTAAAGGATAAAATTTTACCTTATTCTTTATCTGTAAAATTACGCCTACCACTGGGAGGAATTTTCCTGTGGTGGCTGGCCAATTAAGATAAGGGAGAAGTGGATTTATTTCAAAATCAAATATGAAGTGAGAGATAATTAACAAAGTTTATCATATAGATAAAGATTAGACTCTTTTTAAAAATCTGACTACTACTCTATCAAATTTTAATACCTAATTTATAAAAAAATTAAAATTGAAATAAAATAAACTTTTGGCATGTTTACATACGCGTAATCGGAATGAGCATGAATCGGAGTGGGCATGATTCGGAGTGGGTAGGATTCGGAGTGAGGAATCGGAGTTAGAATAAGCTGTTTACTTAGTGAAAGGATTCGGAATCGGAGTCATTCAAAATCTCATTCATACGTTTACTTACACCTAAAATCGGAATAAAAAAGTGTAGAATTACTAATATACCATTTAAATCAATTTGATATTTTCAATTTAAAAAATATATTGTGTACTTATTATATTAAAATTAATCATAATTAAAATATTTAGTGTAATAATTGGGTACTAAACTAATAAATATAAATTGTACAACTATTTAAAATATAAAAAAAAATTTTAAAAAAAATTAAAAAAAATAAATAAAAAATAAAAAATAGTGTTAAAAATAAAATATATTATTAATTTATTAAAAAATAAAGTACATATTTATTATATTAAAGTTAATAATAATTATGCTAATATTATAATATTAGGCAAATAAAATAATAAATATATGTTGCATTTATTATTTTTTGAATTTTATTTTGAATTGTGTATTTATAAGTAAAATAAGGATATGATAATAAATTAATATTAATATTAGGAATGAGAGTTTCAATTCTAAGGGGGGTCATGAGAGTGACAATCCCATTCCTCAATCTTAAATTTGAGTGAGATCCACTAATCTCACTCCCATTACAGGATAAAAAAGAGAAAGTAAACATGAAATTGACTCTCATTCTCCACTCTCTTTTTAAGATAAAAAAGAATAAATAAATATGAGATTGACTCTTATTTTTTAATTCTGATAAGTAAACATGTCATTTAAGAATTATCCGTATGCGGTTTGAAAAGTTAAAAATTAAAATGAAATTTAGTGTAAACCACGTGAATCATTTGTAGAATTAGCCCTAAAAAAAATATAAAAAAAAATTACTCTCCATTGAGAATAGATTTCGGGTTTCTGAAAAGGCCCCCAAATCGACAGCAGATCTACAATTTACAAGTACATAGCTCCTTCCCACACCTCTCTCTCTCTCTCTCTATTCTTGCTCCTTCGGTTAGTCCAAATCGTCAACTTTCCTTCTCTTTCCCATCCCTCTCAAAAACCCCTTTTGCCATCTCTATCTCATTCTCTTGCCTTTTCTCTCCACAGTTGGGTTTCGATTTTAGTTGAGAGAGAAATCTCTCTCTGCCCGAATCCCATTCCATAAAAAAAATAAAAAAAAAAATGGGAAAAGGGTCTCTGATAATCTACATAACGATAGCTCTGGTGGTGCTCCTCCTTGTCTCTCGCTCCCCGAGGAAATCCGCCACCCAGCACCGCCACCGCCGCCTCAAGCTCCGCTCCAACTTCATCATCAGCGACCACCACAACCGCAACCACGCCCCCGTCGCCTTCGACCCCCTCGTCGCCGACATCGAGCGCCGCCGCGAGGACCGGCAGTGGGAGAAGGAGTACATCGAGCACGTCCACCCGGAGCTCTCGACCGCGGCCCCGGGCGACGAGGGGCAGCCGGAGTGGGAGGAGTACATGGACGCCGAGGACTACCTCAACGACGAGGAGAGGTTCAATGTCACCGGCAGGTTGGTGGAGCTTTTCCCAAAAGTGGATGTGGGCCCCGCCGATGGGTTCGTGAGTGAGGAGGAGTTGACGGAGTGGAACTTGAGGCAGGCTCATACGGAGGTGCTCCACAGGACCAAGAGGGACATGGAGACTCATGACAAGAACCGTGATGGCCTTGTTTCTTTCGCCGAGTATGATCCCCCGAGTTGGGCTCGCAATGCAGGTCCGTCCATGTGTAAATCTTTCGTTTTTCTTGCTTTTTTTGGCTACCCATTTTCGAGATTGTTCTTTTTTTTTTTTTTTTAATTTCTTTTTGTGATTTAGTTATATTGGATTAGAGAAGTGAAATGAACGGTGGAGATCTTTTGGAGACGGAACTTAAGAGAATCTCATGCCAAGACTTATTCTTAGAATGAATTTGATGCCCCAAGCTTGCATGTGGTATAGCTGTTGCTATTTTTGTATGTTACGGATGTTGACTTTTTTTTTATTTTTGATTCGTTTTGGTTAGATTTTGGGTTGGGATTTTGATGTCTCTGGTTTAGTGAATTAGCTTAGTTGCTGAAGTTGAAGTTTTTATTTTGTTTTCTGAACTATAGATTTAAATGATGAATTCCTGTATTGGAGACAGGCTAATCAAAATAGAGAAAGTACTAGCTTCTGTGCGAAGTCCGCGTTGTTCGGTGTAATGTTTTATCTTCTTGATTGTCTGGTAGAAATGTGTGAAGGTAGGTGAAATAGAAGAGCCGTAAAGTTTTTAAGAATTACGGTTAAGCTGATGACTTTGATAATGGGGTATTTTGTGTTGCTACTTTTACTTTCTACCAATGAGAATGAGGTTGCTCATGATTCTGAATTACCTATGTCCTCTATATCAGAGTTCTATCTAGAATTGTTTCTGGTCCTGTCCCTTTGCTGCATATAGGATAGGAGGATGTAAAATTGTCAGATAAAGTGATGTTACGAGTGCATTACCGGGTTGATTCTATGATGCTTAGTGATGGTATGTTGGAGCTGGCTCTGTGCCATGTTATTTTCTTTAGGTGGTTGTGAATTGTAGTGGGATGAGAGAACGGATAGAAATTTTGTTTTTGGTTCTCTATTTTGCAAGCTGTATGATGAAATGGTCAGCATTAGTTTGTGAATGGCGACGGATAGAGAATCAAAATGGCCAATTCCAAGGGAATGCTTCATTGAATTTGTCTACCTGATGTTCGGACTCTTCTTCTGTAATAGCCACACTACCTGTGGCAGTCCTAAATCAAGAATTCCCTCCTTTAGAATTCCAAATGGAAACAAATATATAACCAAGGAAATTCTGAAGCCAATTGCAACATAGAACATAAGGACCATCCAGTATTGCATTAATTCTAATAGCAATTGTAGTCCATGTATTCCATGTGATCCAACAAGCAGACTAGGAAAATACGCACATGCTCTTTAGCTTTTTAAGTTTAGGATAACATGGTGGTTTGGAGTTTCTGGTCAATTTCATGTTGTTCTTTATAGTTTATTTTTCTTCTTTCAAGTGTGGTTACTTTCGATATTGCAAAGTATTTAAGTGGACGTTTGGTTCATGGATTCAGAACCATTCTCGGTTTACGTGTGTTTTTTGTAAGAGAATACACTATAGCGAACCACGAACCATAATTCAAATCATGGTACGAATCTACCAACCAAACGCACGCTAAGTTTTGGATAACATGTTGGTTTGGAATCTATTATCGATTTTCTTCTTGTTCTTTGTCCTTCTTCTTTTCAAGTGTTTTTGTTGTTTCTGCTGTTCTAGCCATAAATTTGCATCAGTAGCTTCCTTACTTTAAGCAGACTATCCTGGGGTTGAGTTACTTGAGTTTATAGTATCGTTAATGGTCATCTGTCAGAGAAACTTGGGCAGCATTGCTAACAATAATTTTTTATCTGTTAAATATTCCAGCCTTTGTTTGATTTACTGACTGACCAGTACTAAGCTACCTGTCCGTTTGGTTCATTAGTCTTAGTAGCTAATCATTTCTACACCTTTGTGCTATGTGAACTGATGCAACTCCATGCTGCATGAGTATTAACCTTGAAAGTTATGATAGCACGTAATTGTACGTTCTTAGAGGTCCAAGTTTTGAACTTATCTATTCTTTTTCTTTCTTTCTCCGTCTCTAATATTCTCTCTGGTTTTCTTAATTCTTCATTTATTTTGTTTTCTCAACAGCTGATCATTTCTATTCATCCTTGCAACACCTTGGATAAGATACAAGAAAGTATCATTCTTATTCATTTCGACACCTTGGATTTATTTAAGGCTTGTATGACACGTTATATTTATGTATATATTTTGTAGTCTTTAGTTTTGTATATAAAATGTGATGAGAGAGAGAGAGAGAGAGAGAGAGAGCATAATACACTACAATTTAATACAATATACCAAATGATATATTACATAAAAATTTGAAATGAAGTTTTCTTTTAGCTGCTTATCTTCTCTATGCTTAGGCATTGCTTATGCTTGCTTACTTTGGTTGGTTGCTAGCTTTTGGTTCTTATTTATGGTTTTACATTTGTAACAGATTAAGGTTGTTGTAGAAAGAAGGTTCCAACGTTTCTAAAGCTCGTGGATTTATTTATTTATTTTTGGTTCTATGTAGAATTCACTAAATGTAGAAAAATAGTAATACTTCCCTTTTCTTTTACTAGAAATATTGAATACTATAAATTGATTGTGTTTTTGGTTTAGAACCTGGCCTAAATGTTATTGTTCCATCTTCATTGTCCTTAAATTCAGGATAAGTTGCACATCCTATCTTCCATCCAGATCTTTCATTTCGTTTTTTGAAAAGAAAAAAAAATGTTGTTTAGGCGATAGTTTATTTTACGGGCTATTTGAGTGATGTATTTGTTAATGGCTGCTGATTTTCCTTTTATTTAATAGATAATGGCTCTGTTGGCTATGATATGGGCTGGTGGAAAGAAGAGCATTTTAATGCATCAGATGCAGATGAAGATGGTTTTTTAAATATAACAGAGTTTAACGAGTGAGCTTCTACTTGTTAGCAAATTTTCTTCTACAAAAGAAGTACTATTTAAATTTAATATTGTTCTCCTTACTGATTCTTTGCCTTTGCTTCTGATGATATTCTAGCTTTCTGCACCCAGCTGACAGCAAGAGCCCAAAGTTACTTCATTGGTTGTGCAAGGAGGAAGTAAGGTGATATGAGTTCCATTTGCTTCTCTGTTTTGACATTTCTTATTTGATGACCTTTTTCCAAGATCATGAATGAGAATCTTCCATTGTCAAATGAAAAAGATCACGTATATAACTCGATTGCTAGTATGTTCCTCAAAGAATTTTGAGTTGGTTTGAGTTACTTTTTACCCCTAGATTATCTTGGATCCCTACTCTATCATTATGCATTACAATTAATATATTATGGACGGAACTGATCTATTTACAAACCAAGGCCATTTTTGATATCCTTGTATTAAGCAATGCTCGACTTGCATCCTGCAGCTGTTCTCACAAATCAAATTTAGTCCCATAGAGTTTGAATTCATTAGTCATGTTTCATGTGGATGTAGATGTTGTAGCATAATACCATAATATAATAAGATATGAGGCTATAACCTAGTGTTGGTGCAACCAAGGTGAGATCATGGAGAGTAGATTTGACAATGACGTGAAAGTGACAAGACAAGAAGAAAAGTCCATGATGTGAAGTTTTATTCACTTAAGATGATTGGGAAACTAGATAATTGGACATGAGAGAGAAAATACGTTGGTAATGTCTTGACATGGATTAATTATTACTATAGAATTTGTTGAATTGAGAAACGGATATGCATGCCCCATAGTATGCTTAAATTTCAGAATTGCTTGATATAGTTCCAGGAGATCAACTGATCAGTTCTGCATGATACATTGCTTTGATTCATCATTATATTTACTGCAGGTTTTTATAGTGTCTTTGTATGACCCTTTTTTTTTTTTTTTGGTCAACACTGAAATAAACCTTTTAATTTCGGTAAGTGCAAGTCTGAGTCTGGCCATAGATAATTTTAGTTTATATCATGACATTAGCCTGCAAGACCAGCTTTGGCGTTTAGACATCTTGAGTAAGAGATTCTTGACTTAGTTGTTGGAATGTTTTTTCAACTTAACTCTTACACATCTGTGTGTATTCCATATTGCCATTGCGAACCTGAGTTAATCTTCCAGTTGTTGGGGCTTGCTTGTTAACTTTTACTCTGTGCCCAATGCATCCGGCCCCATTTGATATACATACATATATATAGATATATATATATATATATATATCTTGTTTATATTAGTGACTCTGTTCTATGCTCTCTTTGTCATGTTCCATTAGTTTCCCGTTTTCTCTATTTTATTTGTGGTCGGTTGGGTTTTGTTTCTAACAATATGTTGTTGCTTGGCTAACTGTTAAATCTGTCCTTTGCTTCCTCAGAGAAAGAGATACAGATAAAGATGGAAAGGTTAACTTCAAAGAATTTTTCCATGGGCTCTTCGATTTGGTGAGAAACTATGATGATGAAAGTCACAATTTTTCACATCATTCCGATGATTCAATGGAGGCCCCGGCTAAAGTGTTGTTTGCTCAGTTAGACAAAGATGGTGACGGGTACTTGTTAAGACATCTTTATGGCGTAGAACTATTACAGCATGGGGATTCCATTTGGACTATTATTTACTTTTTGTTTTCTCCTTCATAGATACTTGTCAGATGAAGAATTGCTACCTGTTATTGACAAACTTCATCCTTCGGAACGTTACTACGCGAAACAACAAGCAGATTACATAATATCACAGGTATTCATTTTCTTGCTCTCTTCTTGTCAACTTGGGTCTTATAAACGTCATTTTTGTCCGTTCAGGACTAAGTCGTGCGCGTCAAACTCTTTTTTTTGAAAAAAAAATTTGCTGAATTGTGTTGCAGGCAGACACCGACAAGGATGGGCGCTTGACATTGACAGAGATGATTGACAACCCATATGTCTTTTACAGTGCCATTTTCAATGATGATGAAGAGGACTATGAGTACCACGACGAATTCCGTTAATTTAATTCTAGGTAGGGTCCGGTCATCCCTTTCTCCTTTTTTTTTTTTCCTTGGGTATTTCTTGTTTGTATGTCTTAACTTCTGCTTAAATGGTTGCATTGCCGTTGACTGCAGGGTTCTGAGACAACTTTTATAGGACTTCAAATTTTATTTTTGCAACACAGAATCAGAATTGAAGATTTCAACAAGCGTTTACCATGGTGGGTTGCCAAGCGATTCGGGTATTACTTTACGATTTACATGCAACTGGTAAGAGTAGTTTCTCTACATCAAATTACAGAGAGATGAAGTTTGCCCTGTCTGAGGGAGTGAAATAGGAATAGGAGATTGATGGACATTTACTTTATTGCAAACAACATTTGATAGTAGTTTCTAGCTCTTCTCGTTTCTCTTGTTTGTCTTATCGTTTATACATGTACCATATAAACCACACATTATTATCAGTTGTTCAAAGTGGGATATTAGATATAAGGCATCCAATTACATTGGATCATTTTTCTTTATGGTCAATTTTAATTTTCCATTGTATAAACAATCATGTTTTACAAGCTTGGTGGCCATTTGGTTAGCTTAAGCATCTTTATGGCTTGAAACACGAATTCAAACTTTTTGTGTAAACGGAAACTGAGATAATGGACAGCATAAAGTTGGTGATTGGAGTTAATGTTGCATCTGCAATCCGAGTTTTTTTGGGAACATTTGCAATTTGAGTTACAAAAGCCCTTTAATGACTTATTAAAAAAAAAATCCTATAACAGCAAGAAAGAGAAAATGATGATGGAAGCAGGAAAATAGTTATTGTCACTGAGACTTCCGATGAAGCCATTAAGCCATGAAGGTGGTTAGCATAGGAGCATAATACTGGGTGTGTTTAAAATTCGTTCTAAAATAATTTTATTTTTTTTGTATAAAAATAGAAATGAAAATGTTTTCAATATCAGATAGAAATTATTTTTGAAAATTCGTTTGTTAATTTTATTAAGAGATTGTTTTCAGTATAAAAAAAATTCATTAATGTCTCTATCTCTCTCTGTGCTTGAGAGAGGAGAAAACGGAAACAAAAAATAAAAAAAATGACTAAAAGTCGTTTTTCATTTTTCTTCCATTTTATACTAAATTAAAAAATTATTTTTATTTTTTGTTTTTTGTCTTTAATTGTGATAAACGTCATTTTTCTTCCGTTTTTATTTTTTTCTCAAAAAAGGTGAAATAAAAACAAAATCAACTCCAAACATGACCATTAATTTTACAAATTTGAATAAATTGAGCAGTTTGTAAAGAAAAATGAACTAATTAAGAAATAATAATTTATGAATAGTTAATAGTAGTCTTTGAATAACAAGGTGTATGTAAGAATTTGAGTTGAGATGTGATTTTATGTGAGAGCTTTTTACTGTAACAAAATTTAAATTCTAAACTCGAATCAGCGAAACGAACGAGGCTCTAATCATTTCAAAGTTATATAGGATGTTTATTTCGAAAAGGTTGTACTGAGTAAAAAAGTGTAAATAGAACACTTTATTAATGGAAAAAATGAAAAATATAAAACACGAGAAATATGTCTATTGATTGTATCGAGTGCCTCAAATACCTCTCGTACTGACACTAAAAACGATTGGGTTCAGTTGTAATGCAACAAACAATGAAATTCTCAACCAAATCAAAACTTCCATTTAGCGGTTCAATACAGTTTTCAGTTAGCTGGTGTTCGACATGACATCAATATGGTGATCCAAAAACTATCGTATTAATATATAGTTGGCAATTTTCAATTAGAGGTGCAAAATCACTGTAATGATTGAGAAAAATCCTGAAATTAATTAGTAAAATTTAGGTAATTAAATTAAGGAATTTTATGAATAATGACATATTTTGTAATGAAAGATTTATGGAATTAATAATATTATTTTAAAATTCTATATAAAATTCTTAAGTTAAAATTATGTTATGTTATAACTCGGTTGATAACCTTCTCTGCATATTAAAGTGGGAGAAATTTCAATCCAATATGACTTGAAATTCTAGTCATAAGAATTTTCGAGAACATTACAATGTTAACAGTGTTTTGAAAAGCACTCTAACATTTAAATAAGTCCTTAATTGCCAAATAGTTAAATCAGAGTTACAAGAGTTGCATTTTTGGTAAAAACCGAAAAGCCAAGTTTTGGAATCAACATTGTCGATTATTATGTTTTACTGAGAATTTAAGACAACCATGTTAAGTTCATGCTTTAAATTATTTTAAAATAAATTCTAAAGTCTTCAAACAGTTCGAATTATCTATCCGCCATTTCTAATCGTTCTTACTAGTACTAATCTGAACGGTAAGAAAACAACTCAATCCATACTTGGTCTCTCGACCATTTTTAACCGTTCTTACCGATACCAATATGAATGGTAAGAAAAGAACACAATCCATACTTGATATCTCGGCCGTTTCTAACCGTTCTTACTTGTACCAATCTGAACGGTAAGAAAAGAACTCAATCCATACTTGGTCTCTCAGTCATTTTTAATCGTTCTTACCGGTACCAATCTGAACAGTAAGAAAAGAACTCAATCCATACTTGGTCTCTCGGCCATTTCTAACTGTTCTTACCGGTACCAATCTGAGCAGTAAGAAAAATTCATAAATCACTACTATAACTCAAAAAACATATTGTCACTTAATTTATATATCCAAAATAAGTTATAAAAGTTATCCTTGAGCAGAAACAAAGGGGAAAAAAAATAAAAACAAAAGTTATACAAGTCATTAGTTAAAATACATTAAAAATATTATACATAGTGTAATCGTGAGAGTCAATCATAAATGGCCGTGTATTGTACTTTGAGGATAAGTGTCTGTTTTGAAAATCGTCACTGTCTATTGTTTCCCACTCGTCAAAATAAGTGGCACAATTGAGTCCATTTATCAATGCATGTTCCGCTTGGGAATAGCGGATTGGTACGTCGTTTATGATGAACTAAATTTCTTTTTTCTTTCCCGTCACAACCTCACGGCATCTCAACATCCACAATTCCATTAAACTCATGTCAATGTGTTCAGGAACATAATAAAGATGGCCGAATTGAGAGTCCATGAACCATTGCATCCCATCCGGATTATCGCTTAAGGCTTTGCTAATAACTTTTACAGTTTCTCCCAAGGCGCACTTTGTTGTTATTTTACATTTAAAGTTCATGCGCTACCAAGATAATTGGAGTTATTTTCTGACTCTATGTCTGACGGCTCCACATATCGACATCATTGGATCGAAGAGGGAGAGGAGGCCGGTGTGGTCTGCTTTTGCGCCATATTAACTTTAACCTGTTTCCAAACAATAAAAATTAAGAGTCTTAAGATGAATCTCTCAATGTAAAGAGGAATGCATATACCATATTTAGAACGCAACAATGTCAAAATATAACATTTAACTTACTAAACTTTAAATACTAAATTTAGTGTACTATATTCCTGTTCTGTTTTAATGATATCCAAACTAAGCACAAATCACATTTTAGTTCTTTCTCTTTTTTTTTTTCTCATTTGTTTCTCAAAACTAAACATTTAACAACCAATTATGCAAGTAACAAATAAACAAACTGAATACTTTAACATATCAAACACATTTCTAGCACTAAGAAACTCATTTACACGATTTTACAATAAAAAAGACGAAATAAATGGCACAAAACAAGTCATGTCTTTTATCGAACATATGATGGGCACTAATGCAACAAGTCCTAATTTACACCAAGAATATAAAAGCAACAACCTAGATAACGAAAGAAAACGATAAAACAAATAGAAAAACCTCAGCTTATACTAGGAAATGACTAAGTGAGTTGTGTTGGAGTGCCGGGATGAAAGGCTTGCAGGTGGTGAGGGGCGGAGATGATAGGTTGAAGGCGAAGAGTGGTCTGAATTCGCCGGAGTAAGGAGGTTATTTTTCAGACCGAAGAGACATCAGAAAGCTGGAGAAGTGGCGAGGGGCCGAAGAGTTGGTGGACGCTGAGGCTGTTAGCTGCAAAAAGACAAGGTTTTTTATGGGTGTAGGCGCCGCACTTTTCTGGAGAGGGAGAAGGAAAGTTAATTTGAATGAATGAGATTTACTTTTCTTAATTTCTTTTTCTTTTTTTACATAATCAGATTTGTCTTTTTAGGTTTTTTTTAGCAAGGATAATTTTGTATTTGTATCTAAAAACTGAAAGAAAATAAATAAAAAAGAAAATACGTTTTATAAGGGGATTATTACTTTGAATGTGTTTTAATAAGAGGCCACTAATTGAAAAATTCCTCTAAGAACAATATAGAAAAATCAAATGTATAATGGCCCGTTTATTTCACCGATTTAAGTTTAGAATTTGAGTTTTGCTGTAATAAAAAACTCTAAAAAACAGTCACATCTAACTTTTTTACTACAATAAAAAGCTTTCACATAAAGTTACATCTTAATTCAAATCAAAAATTTAAATCAGCGAACTAAATAGGTCAAATATTATTAGATCAGTCAGATTGTTAATTTTTGAAAAGTTAGGCTTATTTTGGTATTTTTTCCCTCCCAAAATCAGCTTCTATTTGTAGTAGAAGCTGATTTTAGTGTTTGGTAAATCTTCTTAAAAGTGATTTTTGAAGAATTTTTTAAGAATCTGCAGCCAAAATCAGAAGCAGCCTAAAATCAACTTTAGCATTTAGATTGTGTGAGAATCAGTATAGTACAATTAATGAAACTTTCATAATACCCATAAAAAAAATTTAAAATTTACGATCTTCCCAATCTAAAATTTACACTCGTAATATAATATAATAGTAATATTATAACAAATAATATCATAATTATATTAATAACTCTAATATTATTATTTTATCATATATATTATAATAACAGCATTTAGATTGTGTGAGAATCAGTATAGTACAATTAATGAAACTTTCATAATACCCATAAAAAAAATTTAAAATTTACGATCTTCCCAATCTAAAATTTACACTCGTAATATAATATAATAGTAATATTATAACAAATAATATCATAATTATATTAATAACTCTAATATTATTATTTTATCATATATATTATAATAACATTATAATTATTTTAATAATATGATATTATAATTATAATATGATATTGTAATTATTATTTTATAACATATTATATATTATATTGTATTGATATAATTAAACTTATTATATTAATAATATTACAATAATATTATTACATTATATTATATTGATATAATTATATTTATTATAATATGATAATATAATTATAGGCAAGGTCTGAAATTGGTAACTGAAGAAATATATTATAATATATTATAATATGATATAGTTGTAATTTTTAATTATATTATAACGAAAATATTAATATTTCTTATTTAATATTATAATATATTTTATAATATTGTAATTATATTAACCATTTTAATAATATTATTATATCCTATATCATAATTATATAATATTTTTATTTAATAATAGTTTTATTGTATTATATTAAATATAATAATAAATATATATTATATTATATTATATTATAATCATAATTTTTAATTATTTATCACAATTTAACCTCATAATTTATTAAGCGTTGTTATACTAATTTTATAACTAATACAGTTATTATAATTATAATTTATCAAATACTTAATTATATTTTATAACAATTATTTTTTTTTTTGACACAGTTAAAAATAATTTTTTTTAAATTTACAGTACTACTAAATTTGATTAAATCTGAATATTTGTGAGTGGAAGTACACTAGCCGTAAAAGCCCTTTTTCCTTCTTTCCGATCACCGATGTACTTCGACGACAGAGAGGAGCTTACAGGCTACTACGAACCACACCAAAACGACAATGACGACGACGGCGGCGCCGACGAAGAGCTTCAAGACTCTGTCTCCAGCGATCCGCCATTGACGACGTGCTCGCAAGGTCATAGGTCCACTCTCATCCTCCGCACCCGCGAAGGCGGTTCCATCTGCCTCCTCTGCTTCTCAAATCTCATCTCCGATCCTCTCTCTCCCACTCTCCATGTCTCCTACGCTCTCTCTCAGCTCTCCCAAGCCATCTCCCAGCCTCCCTTCCTCCGCTCCCTCCTCACCTTCCACCCTCTCCTCCTCGTCTCTCCTCTCGTCCGCGCTCTCTCCTCCTTCGACGACGAACCGATCGCTCGCCAGATTCTGGATCTCATCTCTGTTCTCTGCGAGTCTGCGGATTCCGCTGTTCATGGAAGCTTCGTCGCTGGGGTTTCCGATCGGCTCTCTTCCGGTGCCTTGGCATGGAGTCGCCGTCAGGTGTTCATGGTAATAATTTCGGTCAGATTTCTTGTATATTCGTGAATTCCAAACTTTTTTTTTTGTGAGGAGTTTGTCGGATTTTGCGGTTTGATGTTTTGATTTGTTGCTGAAGAAATGGAGGAAACAAAAGAGAACAAAGAATTTTTTATTTGAATTTTGAAACGCCCATAGGTACTAGATAAAATTTTTCTTTGATTTTCCTTAAGAGTTACTAGAATTGCAATAGATTAGAGGTAATGCAACTTGTAATTCTGGTAAATTTTGTGGTTAATTTCATTTACTTTTTTTTCCTGGTTTTCTTTTTCTCGAGAATCAACTAGAACTGAAATTGGTTAGGTCATCACAGGACAGAACAAATTGCTTTAGAGTAAGGGATTTTTATTTATTTTTTATTTATTAACTATTATTTTTTTGCTGAATCGATCGGTCATCTTGTTTACGAGGAACATATTATTGATGTCCATTCTTGATACTTGTTAAAGTGCAGCTTCACTGCTTAGGCATTCTCTTAAAATGTCAGAAGGATAATCCTTATGCTCACATCAAAGACAAATATGGTCTCGTTTCCAATCTGGTTGGAGGTCTTCAGTTGCCTAAGTAAGTAATTAAGCTCATTAAGGAGTCAATAAAACTGTCCTTTTTTGTTTGTTTTCTTGTTTACTGAATCATTATTTCTATCTAAAATTCCTCTTCTTTCTTTGTACTCCAATTCCAGTGATGAGATTCGCGGAGAGATTCTGTTTGTTCTGTACAAATTATCTCTTCGCCCTTACGCATCAAGAGATGATGGAGGTGATATTTTGCCTGCCTTTTGTTCTAAGCTTTTGTACTTGTCAATGGAAGCCCTCGTTAAGACCCAGAGTGACGATGTGAGGTTGAATTGTGTAGGTTTGTCATAAACTGGCTCTGTATTTTTTTTTTTTTTTTTTTTGTTTCAGTTTCCTTTTGTTCTTGAATTCCTTTTGATGAATCTCTCTTAACTTGGGTTATTTCCCATCTTATATTTATTTTATCTCCCGACTTTACATTTTAAATCCCCACACTTTTACTTTCCACAGCTTAGAACTCATTTCTTGCTAAAAAATGAAAGAACTATTTTATAGATTGATTTAAGATGTTCTTAAACATTCCAGCTTGTTTTCCTCACATTAGGTTATTCATTTAAACTGCTTTATCTTGCTGAAGAATACAAAGAGAGTTTATGATAACCTTTTATTTATAACCCAGCTCATCTTTTTATGTCATCCTTTTGTCATCCTTATGTTCTGATAACTAAAAATCCTCAATTTTCCTTGTCCAGCGCTTCTGACAGTATTGGCGCAAAGGGGGTTCTTTGGAAATGCATATTCAGTTGGCACTATGGGCAATAGCACATATTCCTATGAAGCAGATAGCGTAATGCAAGCAACACAGGATGGAATAGATGGATCTTCTTTGAACATCTTATTTGCTGAAGCCATCAAAGGCCCACTACTGTCAACAGATAGCCAAGTCCAAATCAGTACAGTAAATTTATTGTTTTATTACTTGACTTGGGAAGGTATTTCAAGCAAAGAGATCCAAGTTCTGGTGGAGGAAAATATTGTGGATTATGTATTTGAAATCCTAAGGTTGTCAGGTGAGATAAATTGCTCAACTGTAATAAATCACGAACACTCTGATTGAAGCATGCTATTTGACTTGCATTTGTGCATGCCAATTGTCAGGAAATTCTGATTCGTTTAGTCCATATGTTGATCGAAGTGAATGGTTTGTTATTTGGAAAAAGTGCGCTGTTTCCTACTGTTTTCTCTCATTTGTCTCATCAATGGGTGCTTTGAAAACTTAACTATAAGTATTCTCTTTTGAACTCCTGCAAAGTGAAATAAATGACTTCCTCAATATTCGAGCCTCATGGAATTATTTAGCGTAGTCCTACTTAAAATTCTCTGTATGCAAAATCTGGGTTTAGCTAATAAACTTCGTTAATGAACAGAGTGCAAGGATCCAGTTGTCAACTCTTGCCTCCAGGTGCTTGATCTTCTATCTATAGCTAAGCAGGCCTTCAAACAGAGGCTTGTAGTTGGTTTTGCAACCCTGATTCCGGTACTGCAGTACGTAGCGGAAATACCTTTTCATCCAGTTCAAAGTCAGACACTAAAGCTCATATCAATTTGTGTTTCTGATTATCCTGGAATACCATCTGCCTCTCAAATAAAGCAAATATTGATTGTCTTGACAAGGATGCTTGAAAAGCATGCCAAAGGAGAGATGGACATGCTTCCTGAGACATTTGTGATGGCTTGCTCAATCTTTGTCTCTCTTTTAAAATCTCCATCTTCTCATGGGACTTCAAGTGTGGAATTATCAATCAAAGAAGCATCACAACATGCTGTTTTGTCTTGTCTCAGTGTCTCTGAAAAAAATTCCTGTCAACTTTTACATTCTCTGTACTTACTTAAGGAGGTTTATGCCTACACCCATGAAGAAAACTCTGAAGACTCCGGTAGTGGAGATCTACGAAATGTTGTTAAGGATATATGTGCAATACATTTATTACCTTGGTTTATAACTTCTTTCAGGGAAATAGAAGAGGAAACTGTCGAGGGGGTACTTGAGACTTTCCATTCAATACTGCTTTGGGATTCTGATATACAAGCCACACAATTTGCAGAGAACGTGGTTTCTTCCTCTTGGTTCAGTCTGTCCTTTGGATGTTTGGGCTTATTTCCCACGGAGAAGATGAAGCAGAAGGTATATTTGATACTCAGCTCACTAGTGGATGTTGTTCTAGGAAATCATTCTGGTCAATCCATTCGAGATGCTGCTTTACGTCTGCCATTGGATCCCATTGATATGCTCTTTCTACTTGGGCAAAAGAGCTCCTACAATTTGGAGTTGTCTTATTCTCAATCTGCTATTTTGACAATCTTATACACTAGTTCTTTATACGATGAAAGGTAGTTGAATCTGTGTCTTTATAAGAGTACGTCTACAATTGTCATCTATCCTTATCTTTAACTATACAATTGGCATCTGTCCTTATCTCATCTTTAACTACTGTCCCAGGCTTGCAGATGATAAGCTGGTTTTAGCTTCTCTGGAAGAATATATTATTGTCAACGGTAATGATTTCCGACAGACCACTGATTCATTTTCTATAATGAGACTTCTGTATCTTTATGGGGTTTATAGGGGCCTTGCCAAGGTGAGCTACCAATTCCCATACAGTCCAGAAGCTGAAAGCATCCTGTTCCAGCTAGCCAAGGGCAATGAATGGGATTTAGTTTCGGCAAGAATTCATCCAATATCGTTGAAATGGTTGTTCCAGCAAGAGAAATTTAACGAGCCACTATCTGATCAGATTCTTAAATTTTGCAGAAGTAATATCTCATATATTTCTGACATCACATCCCCTGAAAAGAATAGGTGTGCTATAAATGTACAGGCAATTGCAGAGTTAGTAGCATCAGGAGATAACTATGCAGCAAGACTACTTGTTTGCTTATGGACTGAGCTCGTCAAGGAAGAAGTTCAAGAGAGTGATGCAATTTCTTTGTTAAATCTTTTGACTACAATTGTTAACATTTCTCCAGCTGCTTCAGACGCGCTATGCTGGAATAGTATCGGCAATGCGATCCATGCTTTTTGTAAAGAAGGGATGCACACATTATCATTACAGACGTCCACGCCCCTGTTAGTTTTGATTCTTAACCTATTATCTTCAGCGCACCCTGAAGCTCTTTCTGACGACGAAATATGGTTAGCAGTGATCATGAAGGTGATTAATTATTTTTAATAAACCCAGTTTGCTGGCAGTTTAGGCTACTATCAGGGACTTACCTTTTCTTTTGTCTCTGTTTTTTTGGCAGTTGGTGGAGTACTTTATCCCCACAGAATCTGCTGGCAGATGGAATCATGATAATCTTTTAGTTATTGGCATTCTTTCCTTGGCTTTGAACCACTCTACCACCAAGGTACTCATGGAAGCTTCAAAAAGTATTCTATTCAATTCTTCTCTGGTCTCAGTAATCGACAACATGATTCATGAAGCATGTCTAAAGGGGCCTGCTCTGGCTGACCATGATGAGGGAACAAGCTATGGACAACGTTTAGTATTTGTGCTTTTACTAAATTACTTTTCTTTAAAAAGGTTGGTATAGGAATAACTTCTTAAATAAAAAAGTTGGTAATAACTATTTGATGTTAACTTCTTTCTCTAGTTTGCGTGCTGTTCTACCAGGGATTATGGATTGGCAGAGTTTCTTTGATCCACCGGATAGGACACAGCCACTTTCCATGATTGGAATTTCTTGCCATGGATTGTGCAGACTGATGTGTTTTGGTTCTCCTCTTGTCAAGCTTGTTGCTTCGCACTGTTTGCTGGAGTTGTTTGCCGAAATAGCACACCAGAGAAATACGGAATGTGAGGAGCTAAAGTCCACAGTCCAGTACCTAATTTCTGTAATATCTGTACTAGAGGGATTTGTTTTCTACAGTGACCAAAGGGTGGCTGTGAATTGCAGCCTTTGTCTATCGATGATTTTTGGGCGTGAAATGCTGGATTCGGAGGATGCAAGTATGATTGGAAAGAACAGTTGGAGTAGGCTGATTGTAGAAGAGCTTGCAGTGTCTTTATCAGTTCAGTCTTTAGCATCCAAATCCTTCATTAATCAGCATAATCCGGCAATTTATGTAGCTCTTGCATTGCTCAAACTGGAGAATATTCCTAGTTGGATGAGAATTGTGTTTGATGATCCCTGCATCTCTGGCATAATTGAAAACCTGACAGCCAGTAATGTAACCTCAGAGATTGTAGCTCTATTCCGAGAGCTGCTGAATTGTGGGTTCCTGAAGAAAGAACAGATTGCATGTCTACATCATGTCTTCAAGGTGACAATTTTTTCTTCTTTCAATGTTTTTGTTTGGTTTCTGTTACTCTTCCGAATAGGTCATTATGTCTCTGTTAAGGTAAGATTACAGTGATCGTTGGCTGCCATATTTTCTCTCACTTAGTAGCCTATTCAGTCACATGAAATCATGACTTTTGCACATCTTTAAGTTGAATGATATTCTAGAAACATGATGCCATTTTTGTTGATATTACAGGCATGCAGAAAGCGGTTATACACTGATAACGCCATAAGTGATAGTCAAGATGAGCACACAAAGAAGGCGGTCACCATGTCAGGTGATTTGGGGGAAATTCGCGAGTATCTCATTTTCTTGATGTCATCCAAGTCATCTCAAGATAGCCATTTTGCTGAATTACATCGTGGGAATAAGAGTCTCTTGAAAGAAATAGAGTTGTTTCTTAGTACTTCAACAGTAGAAGATGAAAGCCATGAGCAACGTGTAACATAATGAAATAACAGATGTAGGTAATGTGAGAAAACCAACAGCCATAAATAGATGTACATGGTTGTTTTTGTAATTTTCTTTAACTTCAAACTAGGTATTATAGTTTATAGTAAACAGCTACAAGGGCCATACAATTGCGATAGGTGAATATAGACATAAAAGGGCAAAAAAAAAAAAAAAAAAAAAAAAAATCCTTTCAGTGTACTGCACACGAATACAAGGCCATCACAAGACTTGTCAAGCCTATTAAAATTTCTTTTGCTCCTTGTCATTTTTTTTTCTCTATGATTCAGAACCATGATTGGTTTATAGATTCAGAATTATGATTCATAATTATTCTCAGTTTACGTTTATTTTTTGTGAGAGAACATTGTAGCGAGTCACGAACCGTGATCCGAACCATGTGATACGGATCCTTGCTCTAAACGCACCTTAATTATTTCCCGAAGTGGATAGAAACGAGTTGACAAATATCTTGCAATTTCATAGTCACGCCACTGTACCTTTTTGCTCAGAAAAATTTGTTTTATAATTTTATAAATTTTATTTGTGGTCTTTTTTTTTTTTCATTTCATATAATGGTTGAAGGGTTGCAACCACTATGTGGCAGTATACTAAAACCGTTGGAAACTAGTTTGGGCCTGTTTAGTTCGTTAATTCAATATTTTAATTTGAGTTGAGATGTGATTTTATGTGAGAAATTTTTACTGTAGTAAAAAAGTTAGATGTGACTGTTTTTGAGAATTTTTTACTATAATAAAACTCGAACTCTAAACTCGAATCGGTAAAATGAACGGGGCATTTATTTATTTTTTTTCGTGTGTCGATTCTCTTTTATTAACACGTGTGGCGATGCAATACGAGGGGTGGTGTATTGCATTTTCGGTTTTTTATTTTTTTTTATCGTTGTCCTCTTAAGAGCCTCGTGCGTAATTCTCGTGCTACATGTGATGTGAGTTTTGTTAACAAAGGGGTCAAAACCAGAGATTTCAAAAACGTTGGGATAGGTAGCTCACTGAAAGTGAATAGTCAAAATGAGACGGTGCATATTTTTAGAGGCCATTGGTATTAATATACCCATTATCAATAGATTATATGCAAATGCCACAACCAACCCAATAGTTAAAATACTAGGTAGTGACCCGCGCCTTGCTTGCGGTAGTATTTTTATTGGAAAATAGTAGAAAATATGCCAATATGAAAAATTTAAGAAAGTATATAGGTTAATTTTTAGTTATAGAAATTAATATGCCATAACTTGTTAAGTTATGGTTCATAACTAGATAAATTATGGACAAACTTATCAAGTTATGGTTCATAGTCAGACAAGTTATGGATAAAAACCGTGAATTATGGATAATAACTTGTCAAGTTACGGTTCATAACTAGACAAGTTATGGACGAAAACAGTAATTTGGCATATTTATTAACTTATGTAAACAATTGGCCTATTAATTTTAATTCATCTCAAGTCTCGGCCTATTTTTCTCTTTCTCCTATTTTTATATTATACAAAAACAGATGTAGTTTATATGTAGTAGCATAAGTAATTGCACTTCTTGTAGCAGAGGGGAGGCATAGAAAAGGCATAAGCATTCGAGTAGATAAAAAAAATAATAAACATGTAATTTGGAACTTTAAGGCAAAGGAAAGAAGGGAAAAACAGACTGACTAAGAAGTAAAATTGAAAAGATATAGCTGCAACAGTTTTTGGACAAATCAAATAGACTTTAATAAGTGAAAATTAAGTATGATCATCATTGCCAATATACATGTATACATCTATGTGTGGATCAGGAAGTAGCAAAGAAAATGGCCAACACATCATATTCATTTATTTATAAAACAGAAGAGAAACTAATAAATAAAAGTTACCAATATTCACTAACAGTAAAAAAGAACAGTGTTTTGCTTTTTAGATGGGTAATATGCATCAATGTTGTAACATAAGAATGCAAAACATGAACATTTGGGAAAAGATAAGGTAATAAGAATGCAAAACAGTGAGTGATAAAAAACCTGAAAAAATATACATGAATAAGTAAGTAAATGGAGAAATAGGTAAACGGAAAAAGAAAAAGAAGGGAAAAAAAAAGGCTTAGGAAAGAGAAGGGCAAAAAAAAAAAAAAAAAAGAAAAAGAAAAGAGAAGGAATGAAAAAAAATTTCATACAATACGAATATTATGGTATTTTGATATAGTAGTTATGGCTCAGGCACTGCAATTTTTCATCAACGTGTGATGAACAAATAGACTTATATGTTTAGACACTTTATGACTACTTATTATGGGCAACTACATAAAAGTACAAAAATTTAATGTGATATTTGATTCATCACACGGATTATATTGTATATGCAACAAAGAATAACCGGCCCGAGTAGGATATTAACTTGTCTAAAAACTACCAGGTGAATAAAGAAAGAAAGAGAGAGAAACGGATAGAAGAAATGGGAAAAAATAAACAAAAGAGAAATGTTGTTGCACGTATGAAGTAAATGGAAAACAAAAAGTAAATAAAAGATATAGGCTAAGCAAGACAGAAGAAAGGGGAAAATGAAAGAAAGGGAAAAAAAAAAAAAAAAAAGAGAACAACATCTTATACAGATAATAGACTTTAATTCACACAGTAATAGTTAAAATATGAGAAGTTGATAATAGTACAAAATCATGGCACGATAGCACAGGCAAAGGAAGGGACATGGAAAAAAACAGGATTTAATAATGAAGAAAGAAAAGTAATATATATGTATATAAAGAATTTTTGACTTGAATACTGATCCAAAGGTGGTAAAAGGATAAGTTTAAGCAAAATAAATAAATAAATAAATAAGGGAAAAGAAATGGCAAAAGATTTTCAATCAAAGAATGTAGATAGAAAGAGGATAAAATGAAAAACTGCATTCACATCAATTTTTGAACAAATCATATCAAACCCAAGGTGCCAAAATTATTCATAATCATTATTGCCATAAAGCAATAAAAGAGGAAGGGGGAGGTGCGGTTTTGGGGAACAAAAAGGGACCAGAATAAAAGGAGGAAAAAAGAAAAAATAGGGAGGGGGAATTAATGGGAAAATATTTAAAGTAAAGACATGTATCTAAACATGTTGCTAAGAAACAAATAAATTGTAAGTAAAGTTGTCAATGCCATTAAGTAATGACAAAATAATGAAGCTGTAAATGAAGAAAAGTAATGAGGCAAATAAACAATGAATTAATATTAAAAACATTGGAAGAAAATAAGCAGAAGATATTGATAGTACCTGAAACAGTGGTGTTGTTTGGTTGGGGGATTCGTACTCCGATTCGAATCATGGTTCGTGGTTCGCTATAGTATTTTTTCTCACAAAAAATACACGTAAATCGAAAATAGTTCTAATCTCATTATTCTAATCCATGAACCAAACTTCTCCTTATGTTAGGTATCAACCAACCACATGTGAATACAAACAGTTAAAGATAGAAGGATAAGGAAAAAAACAGGTAAAATAATAGCAAGCAGTAAATGATGAGGGGTGAAATGAAACAGTACGTGAGCACATGTAAAATAACAACAAGCAGAAACAATCAAAGGCGCAGAGGTCAAGAAACATGATAGTAAATGAGGGAGAATGAAATGAAATCGTAAATGATGGGTATAGTTCAAAGAGAATATGTGTTACGTTTCAAAGATTGAGAGATAAAGTGTTATAATAGGCATAATTCTTGAGAAATTTTTGTAATTAATCTAAATGTTACTGAATGAGTGTACCAAATAAGTAAGGAGAAATGCTAGGGACATTTGTTTTAAGAGCTCGTTCCTAATTTTAAATCATGATTTTTAATTATATACTGTATTTTTTTCTTATAAAAAATTTAAATTTCAAAAATCAAAATTATAAATCATGATTCTCAATCTATAAACCAAACGTCCCAAGTCACTCTCTCTATCACTCTCTAACTTTTGCTATTGCCATGTAGCATCTCATTTCCCTATAAAAAAAGAACTATATTTATAAATCACTCTTCTTATGTTTAATTACACTGTTTAATTAAAGCTCACTTCTGAACTCCATATTAGCCATTACTGATAACTACGAAGTGTAAATATGCCCAAATCTATAACAATCATCAAAAAGAGTGAAAATGTAGTGTAGGCATGATAATCAATCTCATTATCTTAACGATAAAAATTGAATTCCACCGGATATCATTATTGCCACTAATTATCGCAACGAACTATAATTTGACTATGCAACAAGCAATATTCGCGCAATTCGACTATGCAACAAGCAATATTCGCGCAATTATCAAACTCCGAGCAGAAACTACCCTGGAAAACCAAACCCTAAGCCGCTAATCACCATTTTCGAATATCAAAAGCAGAAGCGTTAAGAGCGGGAATTCCCTAATCCATAAATTACCAAAACGACATCAATTCTGAAGCACGAAAGAAAGTAAAAACTCCTAATTTATGGAGTAGGCAAAACGCTCTGGATGTTATTAACCAAGCAGCCAGTTGTTTCACGTTTACTCCATCTTGTATGAAAAAATTGCAACATATTTTAAGCCAAAAAAAAAAAAAAAAAGAAATGAAAACCCATGTTTTGTAACTATTTACTAATTGCATAGAGAAAAATATAGACCGTGTTTAAAGTTGTTTTTGTTTTTATTTTTTACGTTTTTTAAGAAAGAAAAATAATGTTTGATATAATTAAAAATAAAAAATAAAAATAAAAATAATTTTTTAATTTAGTATAAAATATGAGTTATTTTTTATTTTTTATTTCTGTTTTCTTATGGTATTAATAGATTTTTTTATACTAAAAATAATCGTTTAATAAAACTACTAAACGTATTTTTAAAAATAATTTCTGTTTAAAATTAAAAATGTTTTTATTTTTATTTTTATAAAAAAAAAATTATTTTGAAACGAATTTTTAAACAACCATGACTTCTAAAAAAAAGAAAGAGAGTTTTTTCTTCAAATTACAATCTCAACAAGACAGAATCTAGAATTGTAATGGTGCGTTGTAATACTAATACATTGTAGAATTATGTATTTGTGCTATGCTAATATCGTTTAAGCAAACACAAGTATATAAACAAATAATAAAAACAAAACACAATTCAACCAAATACCTTTCTTGCTTAACTTACACCCTCAAAAAAAAAAAAAGAATTCGTACAGAATTACTTCTTCTGACGACGATCGTCTCCGTCTCCGTCATCGTCTTCATCAATATCATCGTCGTCGTCGTCGTCATCATCGGACGGCGGAGAAGGATCGAGACGAGCGGCGTCCTTGGCCCACCGCATCAGCCTCTCCACTTCATCGTCCTCATCCTCGTCCTCTTCGTGCCCATCGCCGCCCTCCGATGCCTTCGCCCCGACGGATTGCGGCGAAGACAAGGACGCCTTGAGAGCGGCGAATCTGGCGGCGAGGTCGTCGCCGAGGACGGCCGTGAGTTCTGGATCGGTTGGATGCTCCGGCGGCGACCGGCGAGGCGGAGGATCGACGGCGGAAGTTGTAGGAGGAGGAGGGTTTGGAGAGGAAGAAGAGGAAGGTGGGGATTTGAGGGCTCGGAAACGGCCATCGAGATCGGAATCGACGTAGTTGGGGGAGACGCGGGACATGTGGGAATTGAGAGAGAGGTTGAGGAGCATGTCGTCTTCCACTGATTTCAGAAGTTCTTCCACTTCTGCTTCTGCATCCTTCTTCTTCGTCGTTGCTGTTTTCCTGCTCATTTTCGCTTCAAGCGCTTCACTTTGTTTTGCCTCTTTGATCATTATATAGCCCACAGCTTCGTATACCTACCCGTTGGCCGGCCCAAACCCATCTTCATACAGTGATGAGCCGGATTGGATGCAATAATGAGTTGGGGTCTGTGGGCCGGCTCAGGCCATCATGACACAATGACGGATCAGACCGGTATGACCCGTCAAGGTTCAAGCCACGACCTAACTCATAAATATTGATGAGTTGAGCTGGTCCAACATATATCGAATCATGGACTGACCCGACACGGTCCATGAAAAATCACGGGTCAGGCCGGACTTGGGCTGGTCCGTTTAGGCCTATGATGGGCCGGCCCAGCCCGACCCATTTATGCCCATAATGGGCTGGCCCAGCCCAGCCTTACTAGACCTATAATATCTTTATGTTTTTTTTTTTTTTAGTAATTTTGTAAACATCTTATGTATATTATCCTAATTGTATTTTTTTTTCTTACCAAGGTTTTGTCCCACTGAGTTTTTCTTAGAAAAGTTTTTATTTAACGAAATAATCATAAATAAAATATTATTTTTCATATTTCGATTAACTATTCAAACTTATATATTTATTAACTTGTTTAAAAATTCAAAAATTAAAAAATTAAAAAATTAAAAATTACATGCTTAGATAGGCTGGTCCATCTAAACCCATGATAGGCCAAGATGGGCCTTTAGTGGGCCAATCCATTCAAGGCCCATGGCATGACCCATCCTCGCCTGCGGCACGGCCCAGCTTGGCCCATGTAAAATTAGCTCGTGGTATGGACTGGGCCCACGAAATTCGTAGGCTGGGTCAGGCCGGGCTGACCTATTCTTGCATCTCTACCTATACTGCTACATTTAATTAAAAAACTAGTTGTTTACCTTTTTTTACCAGTTATCGTATTAGGGACACTTGCAGAATTTTTTATTTTTTAAATAATGAGAAATTTATTTATTGAACTATTTAAGAATTTTTAAATTTATTTTTTAAAAAATGTGTGTAAATGTAACAATTAATAAAAAAAAATGAACTAGACACACATTTAAAGAAAATCATTTTAATCATTAGCAAAAATTAAATAAGAACATGTGTGAAAAATTTATTTTCATAGAATTTAAGTGAGAATAATATATTTTTTAAAAACACGTAAAAAATTAAAATGTAAGGTAATTGACATCAATAGTTCTTAACCTCTTTGAGATGTAACAATTTGGTCTTTTTAAATTGTTTTTTTTTTTTTGAGAAAATGGTCTTTAAACTATTAAAGTGTTGGCAATTAAGATCTTTCCGTTATATTCTGTCAGTTTTTGAACAGAACACCTCATGTGCAGTACATGTGACTAGATATTTGGGGATATTTTAGTAAAATAATGATTTTTATACATTAGTAAAAATAAAATTATAACAAACAACAAAAAATTGTTATTCGCACTGTTAATATAGCGAGATATTAAAAGAATGTATTACACATAATGAGATTGTATGTGTTAGTTTCTAAAATAAAGGTGTAGTTTTAATGGTTACTCCAATATTTATTCATAAATGAATATCATTATTTTAGCTATAAAACATCAATCCGACGGTTGTAATAAATAGCGTGGTTGACAAAAAAAATAAATGGTAATTAATGAGATTGAATTCTTATCAAGCCACTATTGGTTTCCGAAACGATTTCAGATGCGGAAGCGTGTAAGTAGCGTATTGTGTATAACAAAAATTCTGGTAAAACCTTTAAGATACTATATAGATTATATTAATTTATGCACGAATAAATTAATCACATTAATTTGTTTACGAAGAACCAGATTATGAATTATACCTAGCAATCGATTAAGATGATTGCTTGTGTTCTTTGACCTCGAACGTTCATCGCTCCAATGCTAGTTTAGAACACCTAAATATTCCTTGTCAATTCCTTGAATCTACAAAGAATGTGTGTGTGGGCACACTTAAAACAAAACGGGATTAACAATAACACTTAAGTTTTCCACGAATACCAACACATGCACGACATGAAATTTTTTTTGGAGAAAATTTTTCCTTCCCCCTCTCTATAGAAAACTGGCCACTAACTCTTAGCAGAGTAAAAATTGTGTCTCACAATTTTCTACAATATTCTATTTTATAGAGTAGTAGTCAGACACTCAAAATGAGTCTAATCTTTATCTCTAAGATAAAGTTTGATAATTATCTTCAACTTCAAATTTGATTTTGAAACAATATCCATTCTCTGCTTATCCTATATGGCTGACCACCAAAGGGAGATTCCTCCCTGTGGTAGGCGTAATTTTGCAGATAAAGAATATGGTAAAATTTTATCATACAGTCTAATTTTAACTTAAATTCTAATTCTAATTTAAGTCAAACTTAGATCAATTTGAATTTCAAATTTGACAACTTATTAAATAAGTTAATTGGATAACTATGGAGAGCAAACAATTTGAATCTCAAGGGATTCGCATTGTGCTGTGCGTTCACACCATGTGAACACATTCACATGTGTGTTTCAAAATTTAAATTTAAACTTAAACTTAAATAATCACATTATTTAAATTATAATTAATTCTCAATTAATTATCCTTGGTCGTTTTATTTTAGAATTCCATAATTCTAAAATTCTCATTTTGCCCTTAGTGTCAAATAGATTACAAGGACGACGTAGGGACTCATGGACTAATAATTTTGAACTCCAATAAAATTAATGATTAATTAGACTCTTGTCACGACCCCAAGGATAGGGCCGTGATTATTGGGATATAATTTAAGAAAATTAACTTAATTAAACTATATTAATTAAGAAAAATCCATGAAAATAAAATAAAGAATACAAATATCAAAATAGATATTAAAATATACTACTCCGGAGTCTTTCTTTTACAAACAATATTTAAAACAATCCATAATTTTTAAAATAATACAACTCTGGGACAATGTCGACCAATATATATACAGAAATACAGTACATCTCAGAATTAAAACTGTACATCTGAAACAAATGTACCGATTCGAATCTCGCACCTTCAATCCATTGGCATCCATTTGCCATGTTGTAAATCTAAACCGCTAACTTTGTAGGGTGGTTTAAAACATTAAAAATAGAGAAAAAGTGAGCGAAAGGCCCAATAGAATATAATTTATAAAAACTGAATAAATAATGAAAATACAGGCCCGGAAGAATTATTCGGAGCCAAATAACCTTTTTCTATAAGGTAAATAAACTTAAATTCCAGATTACAGGCAACCAGCAAGTAATTTAAGTAATTAAATTACTTACAACCAATGCAAGGCCAAAGACCACTGTAATGGCCAGTACGGGTTTCGGGTCTTGCCCTTAAGGATACGATCTCCATATCCTGATATCTAGGCCATCAGCGGATTTACCGGTTCTTAAAACATCTTATTTTAAGGAAATATACGTTAAAACCTTAATTCGGTTCATTATGAGCTCAGTAGCATATTTCATGCTATTTCTAAAACATGTTTTGTCTTTAAAACATTTTCATAGGCCAAAATACTTTGAAACAAGGCTACAAGGATATGGACAAGAATATCCTACCTCTTGGTAATTTAGTCTATTGATAACTTCACGTTGCCCAACAGTCTATTCTTGAAGCTCCACGGCTCGCTCTGAACTTCAACGAATCCATTTGATTCGCCTCGATCTGCGTGCACAGTATCGGTACACTTTTTAACGGAGTGGAATTGGTGCAAACAGAGGTGACGATATGGTCTTGGATTGACAAACAGAGGTCGGGAGGCTGCTGAACAGAAGCTCACCGAAATACGGCCACTGGCAGTTGTGGCAGTGGTGGCAGAGGTTGCCGGAGCATATTTTCGTGGCAGACTTAGGTCCTACCCCCCTAAATCGACCCTTCTGAGTTCAATGGTATGGTCAATTTCACCAAATTCGGCCTCTAACTGTATGGATTGAAACCGCCAACTTTGACATAATCCAGCGGCTCGGATCTTGATTCTCTGGCTATGGAATCTCAAAACTGGTTGAGGGCCTTTGTTACCCACTTCCTTCTGAGTGTTTTGACACCAAAATTATGACGATCCAACGGTTGTTTCATCGGAACCACCATCCACCCCAACGGTGGCGGTGGCAGCGAGCTCCGATCTCTGACAAACGGCGGCAGATTCGGGCGGTTGACGGTTATTTCATGCTGTACGTCGTACTTTGAGTCCAATGGTACTGGCGGTGTCATCGACTAAGGCCAGAATAGTGCACAATGGAAAGGAGGCGCGGCGGGCGAAATGGGCGGCGACATGCTCCAACGAGAATCGATGGGTGAGATGACATGGATTTTGTTCGTCTCATCGAGCTGAGTCCATAGGGACTAGAATCACTCCGATCGGAGGTCGGACGATAAAGTTACGCCGGCGAGAAGTTTCGGTAGTTTTTAGACATCTCATCGGTGATTGTTTCTGTTTCTGGCAGAGATGGAGTTCGAGTGGCATGTCAATAAGTCCAGCTCGTCGAGGGCTTTCTGATGGTGTGGGCGGTGTCACGAAACGACACTGGAATCTCATCAGTGGTGGGTGGTCGGCGTGGAGAGAGAGAGAGAGTCAACGTGGGACAGAGAGAGAAAGAGAGAAAAATGAGAAAAATAAAAGGAGAAAGGAAAAATTGGCTTAGACTTTCTAGGCAAATTTAATAATTAGACTTCAAAGTCCATTTTGAATAGAGTGTGAAATGACCTATTATTCATGTTTTAAAAAATTAGTTGCCAACATTTAAAACTATTCGAGTGACAGCAGTGCCAATTTTAAAATAATTATTTTTAAAGGGAAAGGTCATTTACGTGATAATTATAATTGAAATTCTTTCACTAATCCCAGATTAATTAACACTAATCGGCAGATTTGATTAATTAATCTCAATTAATTTAACCGGATGTTACAACTCTTTAATTAATTAATTAATTATATTAATTCTAATAGTTATTCCACTATAAACTTAGAATCCGAAATGGTGGGTTACACTCATGAAAAATATAATTTAGTTAATTATATTTTGACCAAAATAACGGTAATTAATAAATATAACAATACGAGATATTTTGATAATATTTATTAATTGATAAGGTCTCAGTTCAATTAGCGGGTTATTTGACCTACCCTAAAGCGGCACATCATTCGTAGTATATTGGATTATCATTGGCACCTAAAATTAAAATATGATTTATGTATTTTTCATGTGCATCATGCATCATATTTAATTGTGCCAAAACTCACACGTCTTGATATTCATGCACATAAACTGATTAGATGAATATTCTATTTATTTCCTACAATATGTTGAATCCTATAATCTCACTAGTTGCGGCTGAAAAACTGGACGGCGATAACTACACTAAGTGGAAAAGTAATATGAATATACTATTAATCTGCGACGACTATAAATTTGTCATGATAGAGAAATGTCATCTAGAACCCGCGGCTAACGCATCTAAAATCACCCGGGAGTCTTATGATCGCTGGATCAAGGCCAGCAACAAAGCAAAGTGTTATATGTTTGCTAGCATGAGCGATGTGCTTCGCAAGAGGCATGGAGAGATGGAGACCGCTTATGAGATAATGAAGTCTTTAGAAGCCATATTCGGCGCTCTTTCAGAGAATGCTCATTTAGATGCTATTGGGGCTTTCACGAATGACAAGATGAAGATTAGTACTTTGGTCAAGGCACATGTTTTGAGCATGATTGAGCACCTCTATGCGGCTGAAGTCAATGGTGCCAGGATCGATGAAGCCACCCAGGTTGGAATCATCTTGGAAAACCTATTCCCGCCTTTTCAAGAGTTTAAGAAAAATTATGTTATGAACAAAAAGAAGTCCAACCTTACTGAACTTTTGAATGACATGCAAAACTTTGAATCCACTAACATAAGTTAAGGATGAGAAGCACATGTTGCTGTTGCAGGTGGATCTGGTAAAAATAAAAGGAAGAACCATAACCAAAGAAATGGGAAGAAAGGAAAGAACAAGAGGGCTAAAAGGAAGGGCTCCGACCAGAAACCGAAAGGAAGGTGTTTCCACTGTAATGGTGAAGGACATTGGAAGAGAAACTGTAAGAAGTATCTTGAGGAGCTGAAGAAGAAAGAGGAACAAGGTAAATAAGATTTGCTAGTTCTTGAAACGTGTTCAGACTGGATAATTGATTCAGGAGCAACTAATCACGTTTATTTTTCTTTTCAGAGTCTTAGTTCTTACACTGAGTTGGCTGACGGGGACTACATAATGAGGGTGGGGAATGGCACAAGAGTTTCGACAAAAGCAGTGGGAGAAGTTAGACTTCGCTTTAGGAAAAATAAATTTTTAGTTTTGAACGAAGTTTATTTCATTCCAGACATTCATAGAAATTTGAATTCTATAGCTAGGCTATTTGAACAATTATTTAAAATTTATTTTGATAATGAATTTGTTCATATTTCTCGAAATGGTTTAAATATTTATTCTGGACATATGGAAGATGGTTTATATTATATAAAACTAATGCCTAACTCACTGCTTAATATTGAAATGTTCAAAGTTCTCGAACCTAAGAATAAGATGCAAAAGATCTCTCGTGTTAATAACACATATCTGTGGCATTTTAGGCTTGGTCATATTAACATGAATAGGATTGAAAGACTGGTAAAGAATAGTCCTTTACGTGAACCAAAACTTGGTAAACTTCCAGTCTGTGAATCTTGTCTGAAAGGTAAAATAACAAAGAGGCTTTCACGTCAAAAGGAGAAAGAGCCACAGAGCTACTTTAGCTGATACATTCGGATGTATGTAGACCGTTAAACGTCCAAGCAAGAGGTGGTTATGAATATTTTGTCACATTTGTTGACGATTAATCGAGATATGGTTGTGTTTCTACTTACCCGTTTAAATTGCGGGCAGAAGGCCATCTGTATTAATTCTTCGAACGACGCATCATCTAGAAAAGAAAGTGGTAATTCGGCACTAGCTAGAAATTTAGCTAGTGCCTCACGAGCACGTTGTGCATCGTATGTAAAATTTTGAAACCCTTGTGATGTGAGCGATAGTGTTTGTTGGCGGGAGTCCACACTCCCACTTTGGTGCAACGGTAGACATTTTTTCCAATGTCTATCCATATGACCAGTACCCCTACCATTTTTATTAGAAAAGTGTTTTTTACAATACTTACATACTGCACAAATTTCTACTTCACTTGTTTTGTGATTTGGTCGGGGCTCCTCTGTGAAATGCTGCCATATAGGAGAAGTTCGCGGTCTTTTTCCCCTGGTGCGTTCTCCAACTTCCTCGTTGTGCACTGAAATATTATCAACCAAAGCATTTTCTGGTTCAGTGGGGGTGTGGTTTGGAGGCATCATTTCATCCTTGAAAAATGGCTCATCACCAAGCTCAGGAAGAGTAGTAAAATCAGGGAAGTTTGATGCGGCCATTTTCTAGAAATTGATTGAACTTAAACTTTGTAAATGAAATAGCAAGAAAATTAGTGATCGTGAGAAAAAAGCTTCGAATCAAAATCAAAGAGACAAGATGAGAGATAGAATGAGAGTGAATTATTGTGTGGGATTAATGGGTATTTATAGGGGATTTTGGGAGTATTTATAGGGGTTTTTTGGGGTTTTTTTTCGGATTATGATCATTGGGCCCTTCACGGGCCCAACGGTCACAATTAGAATGGGCTGGAGGGCTTTTTCGCGGGCTTAGGCCGGGCCGAACAAGGACCGAATCCGGGCTTGGGCCGAACTGGGCTTGGGCCAGGCCGCAGGCCTTCACGGGCTAGGGCGGGGCTTAGACCGCGGGCTGAGAAGTCGAGGCCCAGCCCTAGCCCATCAAACGTGCCGGGCCGGCACGGCCCGTAACAGTACCGTACCGGGTTATGCCGAATTCAACACTATTATGGGCTGGGCCATACCAAATCTAACACTATTACGGACTGGGCTGGGTCATACCAAATCTAGCATTATCCAAATCCGGCATTATTACGTACTAGGCCATTTGACACCACTAGAGAAAGTAAGAAATGAGTATTTTTCGCTGGCAAAAATTAAAACTGATAAAAAAAAGAACATTACTAATTTCCAAACTTTCTTTTCCTTTTAATTAATTCCATTTCAAAACGATACGGTTTAAGCGCTCTCTCTCTTCCCATAGGCTGAAAGCGAACGAGTTGAGTTGAGTTGGAACGGAAGATCACGACACGACACAGTAGAAGAAATGCACTCCAACCCCACTCACAGCAACGGCTACCACCACCAACAACAACAACAATCCGGCGGCGACCGGCGACCGGCAATGACTCACCGGGAAAGAGTCCGGCGAGGACCTCGCGGCAGCTCGAGATTGCGCGAGTCGAGAGACGGCCATGACGGCGCTGCTGGCCTTAGGGTTTCCGGCCAGAAACAGCAGCAGAGACCGCCTTGTACGGACTTCGACATGGCCTACTTCCATTCCTACGCTCACGTCGGCATCCACGAGGAGATGATCAAGGTTTCGCCAATTCTCCGATTTTTCTTCTTTCTTTAATTTCTTGGAAGTGAAATTTCTTTTCTTTTCTTTTCTAATCTTTCACTGCGGGAGTTGATTGTTATTGTCCTTGTTCTGGTGTGTCCTGTTTGGTTTTGTACGAATTTCTGAATGTGAGATGAAGATAACAAGAATTCTAAGCTTTATTGTTTAACGTTAATCTTCTTCTTTTACCTAGTTTTAGTGAAAGAATGACCTTAACATTGCCATTTACTCATGAAATGCCATTAGCGAATGCTGGATTTCTGTTTTTTTTGTTGCTGCATTTGAACTTGGGTTTGTCTTCTTTTTTTCTTTTTGGGATATGACATTAATTTGGATAACCTATGAAGTCTTTCTAGGTTTGGTGGAGCTGACAGTTGTTGTTATTTTGATGTGTCCTGTTTGTTTTTTTTTGTGAGTTTCTGTATAAGAGATGAAGAAAAATTAGAATTTTAACCTCTGCGGCGGTTGATCCTCAGTGGACGACGAAGTTTTGTGTAAGAAATGGATGTGTATGACTATAGGAGAAACAATCATGGATTTCTTTGACTGTAGGAGAGGCGATAAGGGATGTAGTGGCACAATGGCTATAAGTGGTTGGAGTTTGATCTAACTTTTACTATTTTTAACGAGGGAATATGCTTTGGTCAAATTGTTGTTGCCTTTGTTACTTAAAAGGGCTTTTTTCTTTTTTTTTCTTTTTTTTTTTTTTTTTTTTTTTTTTTTTTTTTTTTTTTTTTCCGATTTGCGGCTACTATTTGGGAGAACATATGAGATTTAGTCGGTAAACAAGTAGATTGAGGATAAATCACATGGTTAGAAAAGAATAGCTGATACTGCTACAGCCCGCCTGAGTGTTCTATTTGCATTTCCTTATCTTTTGAGCACTTGAAAACTATGCATGCACCATGTATGTGTTGTGATTATCGCGCTGATATAGTTCCCTAATAAATGATGTTGATTTTACTTGGTACCGCGTGTAACATGCTATCCCCCCCCTTTTTTTTCCTAGCTTGCTACTGGTATGAGTATGTCCATTTTTCATATGCATCAGATTACCGCTTGACTATCTCTGTACTATCTGAAGTCCGAGTGTGAATGAAAACCAATGTTAAATAGTCTTTACCTTAGTATTTTTCGATGGTGTTAGTTCTCCGTGAAATGTGATTGTTTGTGTTGTTCATCTTCTTTCTATTTGCATGTTATTTATGAATGAAAATTTTCCTTTATGAGACATTAATATTTGATATCTAATCATGTTGGGGGTTGGTCTGCAACACACTAATTCTGTATATTAAACTATTAACATAGTAAAATCTCAAATATGAAATAAATGGTTGAATTCAAAGTAATTATAGGCTGACATGGAAATTTTCATTATACAGGATCGGGTGCGGACTGACACTTATAGGGCAGCCATCATGCAGCATCAGAGTTCCATTGCAGGCAAAGTAATACAGTTCTAATCTCAATTATGAAATGATCGGTAGAATTATGCTCAACACAGAGCAATTATTTCGTCTTCAATTAAGCTGGAGTACTTGTTTGCTTGCTTACAATTCATCTGGATAACTACTCTATTTGATCCCAATGTTGCACAAATACTCACAAAATTTATGTTTCTTACTTGATGCAAGTATTCCCTAAGAGGTTCTACATTTGCGCATTTATGTTTCTCTTGCTTCATAGAATCTCTTCATTTTAAGTGTTAATCATGTTGTTCACTTTTTAATTTTCTTTAATATAACAATGCTTATAGGTTGTAGTAGATGTTGGCTGCGGCACAGGTATTCTTTCCATATTTTGCGCTCAGGCTGGTGCAAAACGAGTAAGCTAATTAGCTGTATTTGGATTAATGTTTGATAAAGTGTACTATTTTACTAAGTTGCTTGAATTTGTATTTGAGATTAGGGGTCTTCATTTCTTAATGTTCTTTTAATTGTGGGTCTTAGTGATTTTTTGAAGTCAATATTTGAAGAGCGATGGTGGTTTGTTGTACGAGCTACATTATACATGATGGGTCTTTGATGCAAAAGAAATCTTACATATAGTAGTAACTAGTAACCAGGGCAGAGAATCATCTTAGTCATGTGGACTAATCATCATGTTGTCCTTCTTTCTCTTCATAGATCTTATGAAAAATTTTGGGCTTTGTGTCAGAATCTGTAATTTTTTGTAATATTATTATAAAAGTTGGGTTGTCTCCTTAACTTTTGTCCCCCTTTTCTTCTCTACTCCGTATATTGTTTGTTCTTTAAATTTGAAACTAAGTAAAAAAAAAAAAAAAATGTGATTCCTGATGCACATAATTACATTATCTTATCTTTTCCTTCCAGTATTATCATACAATTATGTTCTGTGACTTTAACCAGCTTCGATTTTGTACTTCTGACATTTACAAGCTTATAGATTGATGCTTTTTGTCTACCACTTGCCAGGTGTATGCAGTTGATGCAAGTGAGATTGCAATACAGGTACCTTGTAATAGAATTTTTTTCAAAATATGTTTTCTTTTTTAGAATTTCGAAATATGTACTAATATTATAATCTTCAACATATTCTGGTCTGCATTTTCTCATTCTTGAAGTTTTTGTCGTCAATGTATCTGGGTGGACTTCCCTCCTCCTTGCTTTATACTTCATTATTTCCTTTTTTGTCTAAATGAAGTATTGATTCTTTTCTGAAAAATGTTGAAGTTTCTGCCTTCACATCTGTCAAGGTTATGATGTGGAGTCATTTGGCATCGGAGTCTTTTTTATTGGGTACTAAGAGAGTGGATATCTTTGTGTGTTTATGCTTTGCTGCACAAACTGATCGGATAAGTTCATTGCTTTAATGCATCTTTTACTTGGAAGCATACTGAACACTAAATAATCAGTTCTTATTGAATTATGAGCTATTTGTGATGTGTATCTTGAGCTTTGGCTAAGGATTAATCTTGTTGGTTTGTAAGCAGGCAAATGAAGTTGTAAAAGCGAACAACTTATCTGACACAGTCATTGTACTACATGGGAGAGTTGAGGTAGGTCGGTTAAGATGCTAATTTGTTATTTATGCTTCAGTAGCAATGATTTGGTTTTATTTCTATATTTTAGGATTTGTTGATTATATTTTATATTCATAGATGAATTGGAGAGTACTGGATCCTGGATATCTATGATTTCAATTTGGGGAAAATTAAGAAGCTTTGTCCATGGAAATAAAAAGATCAACTTTACAAAATGGAACTGATTTGGTTTTGTACATAGACTTGTGGTTTTGTATGGATGCACCCATTTGCTTCAATTTGTAGTTATGGACACTGTTCTAAATCGGGGTTCTGAACCCCGTTTAAGTCTCCCTTGTTAGTTTGGACATCACTCTTTGGCCTTTTCATCGGCCCTTTTTTAATTATAAGACTGAAAATTTATTGTTTAAATAAAAATTACATAAGAATAACAGGCGACAAGGTATCCTCAGAAATAAAACACAAAACAACAAGAAAACCAAGCGAAGCTAGAGGACAAGAATTTTGGAAATTAAATGGCTCAAATCTTGGAAAGTTTCCTTGTTAACGAGAACAAGAAAAAAGGATTTACAAGTGAAGCTAGAGAAGTAGCTAAGGCACATCCCTTTATCAGGGGTAGAAAAATTCAGAGAGAAATTTACTAAAACCTGAAATAAAGAAACCATCTCCAAAGTTTCTTTATCATTGAGATTTCTTCTAAAGTCAAACTACCAATTAATGGAACCTTTTTATTGGTGAATAGCAATGGGATGATGGTTCTCATTAATTAGAGAAGAAAGAAATAATAAAAAACCTAAGGAGTACAGTATCTTTGAAGTGATGGTTTGGGAGAACTTTTGTTTTCTAGGCTGCAACAATATTATGAGTCCTCAAGACCGTCGGAAATTTTGTGTGAATGGTGGATAAAGAAGGCTAGTATGAGTAACTGGACATCCAGTAATGCTATGAAACACGGGGGCGGTGGGTTCACTTTAAGGAATTTGTTTCATGAGAATAAGATTTGCAGCTATCAAACCTTGTTGGTAGTTTATACTGTGCATTTTACAACAAAGCAAGTTCATGAGAATAAGATTTGCAGCTATTAAACCTTGTTGGTAGTATATAGTGTGCATTTTACAACAATGCCAGTAGATTTGTGCTATAAGTGGGTCTAATTTTGTTTTCTCCTGGCTTGAGAATTGGCAAGTGACAAGATGACAAACTATTAAGCTTTTAGGTCCTGTGGAAGCCAGGTTATTCTTTTCTCTTATTTTTATTATTTTATTATTATTTTTTTAATTGTGCTTGGTTTGGGAATGCATGTATGCATAGCCATAAGTAATGGGGAGATGATGTGCAAAGGGAGTTTGGGGCTGGGTTTAGATATGGTTGTCAAAATTACTAAGCTCGTAAAATTGTTGGTTTGATGCTGAGATTGATGTAGGACCAAGATAGAACAGAGAATAGAGATAAAAGGATAGAGCCAAGATAGAGAAGAAGAACCATTGAGAGATAGAACTAGAACCGCAAAAGAGAAAAGAAGGGATTCTAGGGAGAGAACAAGAACGCAAGAGGAGTAAGCTCAATAATCTCAATATTGATTCATAAAACCGTTCTCTCTGAATTGAAATTACAAAGTACCAAATTTATAAGCAAACCAAAATGAGCAAATAACAAAATAAGAAATGAAACCAAAATGAATTAAGGAAACTACCAAAATGAAATAACGAAACTAATAGCGGGAAACAAATTTTAGTTCTGAAATAACATAAATTCCTGATTAAGAAAAAAGTAAATAAATACTCTAATATTTTTCTGCTTGGTTGGGTGCCGAGACCTCCAACTTTCCCAGGAGGTGATGTTTGGTATGAGGATTCGTGTCATGGTTTGAATCATGGTTTGTGGCTCGCTACAGTGTTTCTCTCACAGAAAACACACGTAAACCAAAAATTGTTTTCTGAATCCGTGAACCAAACGTCCAAAGATAAATTATCAAAGGAATTTTTATGCAAGAGATGAGGAGAAACATTAGAGAGTAAATATGAATACTCAATAATATTAATCAAATTGTTTGTTGAATATATATTTTTTAGAGAAACAGAGATCCTTTTACTGATGAGAAAAATCAGTACAAGGTGGAAGGGGATGAGAAATCCTCCAGAAAAAAGTTCTCCGTTGAAATTAGAACCAAGAACCTATTTACAGAGGAAGAAAACATAATAATAAGAAAAACTCAACATAGCAGATAAGCTTGACCGAACCTAAATATTCTGAGTAGATAACATTAACAACGATAAATAATTCTAATATTTAAACTAATGTTAATTACTAATCATCTATATCTTGTTCCTCATCAAGCTTATCAAAATATTTAATGAACCTCTTATTTACTGAGAATATGAAAAAGGAGATGGAGAGAATATTGTCAAAGAAGTTCATCATAGTATAGCTCATATATGTACAGTAGAATGCAAAACAAGTACTCTTGGAATGAGTGTTGTTTTCTGCCTATTTAGTATCATTAGTCCTTGTTTCAATTTTTGGCTCTGGCATTCACCTGCTTAGTTACCACATTTAAGAGCTAGTCTAATCTTTTTCTCTTTCTTTTCCCTAAATTAGAGTCAGCTTATGATTTTTGCAGGATGTTGAAATCGAAGAAGAGGTTGATGTTATAATTTCAGAATGGATGGGTTACATGCTTCTATATGAGGTGATTCCACATCTTTTTGGTGGATGCTCTGCATATAATTGAATGGTGTTATACTTACTATGATCTGGTTGCGTTTTCTTCTAGAGCATGCTGGGAAGTGTTATTATTGCCAGAGACCGTTGGCTTAAACCTGGAGGTCTTATACTTCCTTCAACTGCAACGGTATGTTTGATAACTGGAAGGATGTGATAGGATGCTAAGTTTCATGTCCTCTTTTTATCTTTCTGTGTAGTTTTCTCTTCCTTTTTTTGTTTCCTTTTTCTCCTTAATGAGGATACCTTGTTCGCTTTCCTTTTGTATTTGATTGTATAATCAATGAACAGAAGTTTACTTATAAAAAAAATATAGTTTACGCTTTTCCTTAAGCAATGCGATAGTGGTTATAGGATTTGTCACGCTGGTGCTGCTTTTAATTTCATATTACTGTTTTATGCCAGTCGTATTCCATGTTAAATACTTGATTTAGTGCATAAGGCATCCTTATCCAGTTCAGCATTTATATTATAAAATAAAATTGTAAAAATGATGCTGATCTTAATCTGAATGACTCGCAGTTGTATATGGCACCAGTGACACACCCGGATAGATACAGTGACAGTATTGATTTTTGGCGCAACGTTTATGGAATAGATAGTGAGTGAATGCATTAATAAGAATTAATGATGGTTCCATATATTTCATTCCTCTGTTTTCTCTTCTCTTTTGTAATATAGTATATCTGCTTCATATAGAAGAAATAGTATTTCCATTTTCTTGGCATTCCCATGACAAGTCGTTACAGAAATTGTTTATCCAAACCCCGCCCAATTAGTAATAATTTATATGTATCACTGTTTGATTTAGTGTCTGCAATAATGCCATTGGCAAAACAATGTGCATTTGAAGAACCGTGCGTGGAGACTATAGTGGGCGAAAACATCTTGACATGGCCACATGTGGTAAGTTATATCATGTTTCTTGTAAAATTGATTTTCAAAAGAAAAGTTCTTTTAGTAATGTGGCTAAGCTTCCATCCAAAAATGTGTACCTTTGAACACCTCTTCCACAAAGTGTTATGGTTAATTTATTTCAATTTTAACTTTAAGGCCGATTTATTTATTTATTATTTTAAAAGTTTAAAGCTCATATTTTTGCCAATCTCACTATCTTCGGCCTCGTTCGTTTCGCTTATTCGAGTTTATAATTTGAGTTTTGCTATAGTAAAAAGTTCTCACAAACAATCACATCTAACTTTTTTGCTACAGTAAAAAGCTCTCACATAAAATTACATCTCAACTCGAATTTTAAACTCGAATCAGTGAAACGAACGAGGCCTTCATTTATTCCAAACAAGAGAAATTAAGTAGAAATCGTAGAACAAATTCCATTTTTAGTTAGTGCTTCCCATTTTAAAAATAGTGAATAATTTTTGTGGTTTTGTGGTGGGCCTTTCACCTCTGGTAACTGTTCATTATTCGAAATTTAAATTTGTCTATTTATGTTTTCTAGGTAAAGCATGTTGACTGCTATACAGTAACAATTAGTGAGCTAGAATCTGTTACCACAAGATTTAATTTCAAGTCAATGATGCGAGGTAACTTGTTTTTCTTTCTCCTCCTATATATTTGTCTTAGCTTCGTAAGGATTTTAACCCAAGATCTCTAGATCGGAATGTAGTCACTTAACCATTTAGATGCCTGATAGATCTAGGCTAATTTGAGCTCAGAAAAACTTAAGGAAATGGATAAGAAAGTAATGGAGTAAATCTTTATTGCTAATTGGTTGGAAATACAAGTAATAGGCAGAACTTCGAGGGTCTGCAACCTCCCCCGCTTTGAACAATCTCCAAGACTTTCCCACTATTGATTCTAGCTTCTTCCTAATTTCCCTCAGCTCCCCCTCCCCTTTTTATTTATCTCCCACCCTCTAACTAACTAGTAACTAACAACTTTCCTCCTAACAAACCTTCTAACAACCAAAACCCCTCTTCTTTCACTAACAAACAACTGCCACCTCACTCAACCCCCCTTTGCCCCCTCTTATTCCTCCTAATGAACACTTGCCTAAGTAAAGGCTTATCAATGCCCCTTGGGGACCCTCTCCATATTTGTCTTTGATATTTAAATTCTTTTGTCACCATGGGATCTCCATGATTATTTTTTTTTTCTTTCTTATTAAAAGAATAAAGGGAAAATAGTCTTATGAAATCTACGATTTTATACTATCAGCTCCATTATTCCTCCTGCTGACAGCCTTTTTGTTTCATCCTGTTTTAAACGATATTTTTGCAAGTCCAGATATCAGCATACTTGTTAATAATGGTTTTTTTTTGGGTGAACTATTTCATCTCTGGGAGAAAAAAATCATTGAAAATTGTTATAGCTGAAATGAAAACTAACTAGTAAATAATTCCTAAATCCTTAAAAAGATCTCATCAATAAAATCAATTTTCCGGTATCTGCTCTGATTTGGAGGGAGGGCAATCTCATAAAGGCTAGGAATTTGATGATCCAAACCTTGCGGAAGATTTTGATATGTATATAGCTTATCCGATTTCTGTGCACGAGTTAAGAAATTTTTTAAGGGATGTTACATTATTTACACCTTTTTCTTTAGTAGTAGTGTGGTTCTAAATATTCCTCAATTGACAGCTCCACTTCATGGATTTGCGTTTTGGTTTGATGTTGAATTTTCGGGACCTGCAATATCTCCTAACAATAATCAGACAACATCCTTGCTTACTGACACACATCCAGTGGATGGAAGTCAGAGGAAGAAACGGACAAACCCAAATGAAGCATTGGTGCTGTCCACTGCACCCGAGGACCCTCCAACACATTGGCAACAGGTACAGTACATTTTACTGCCTTTCAGTGGTTCAACGTCATGTACGTATATTTTTGAAGTTGTAGCTTCTGGCATTTCGTCTCTATAAAATAAAGAAATAAACAAAATAAAGTTTATAAGGGTGGGCATGAATACCGATATTATCGTGTTATATATAGTTGAAATTTTGGCCAATAGCTATGTCATTTGCAGCTTTCTTGATCAGTATGGATGACCTGTGATGTACCATGAGTCTGAGTTGTCCAGATAATTTTTTGTATTAGATTGCACAGCGTGTTTAAATTTCGGTTGTAATTCAAATGTGTGAAGTTGAGATTTCACATGGAGTTAAGTAGATACCAATCACAAGTTAAACCTTCAAAAAAAGAAGAGAAGAAAATTTAGACAAAAAAAAAAAGTAAAGAAAGAAAGAAAAGCATGGATTGATTCATTCGTAGGTAATAAGTGTCATCTGGTTGTGAATCATTCTTGTTTTTGGATATTCTGTATATCCCATGTACCTGTTCTTTTGGTGCCCCCTAACAAAATAAATTCTGCAGACATTAATTTATTTCTACGACCCCATAGAAGTGGAGCAAGATCAACTGATTGAAGGTTCCGTGACATTATCACAAAGCAAAGAAAACCCTCGGTTCATGAACATTCACCTCGAATATGCGTGAGTTCTTAGCTTTCTTTGTTTTTCATTTATTTATTTTTTTTTATGCTGGACTTCACTTATTGTTAGTTCATGTACCTTTTACCAAACTAGAAAATATAGCTTAAATCCTCTTCAAAATCCTCAAATTAATTACACTCTTGCAGATCGGGGGGCCGTTCCTTTGTGAAAGAGTCCGTGATGCGGTGATAGTACTTGCTGCATTCCAGGTTGTGGCTAGTTAAAGGAAGAAAGTTGTGGTAACTAACTACCATTTTCCACCTACAGCTCTCATACTGCCCCGCAAAGGCAAGACTTTTGATAGAATTTGAAAAACACATCTCTGGGGTACTAAAGAGGGCTCATGCGTTTTACTCATTAACCATGTAAAGCCTCACAGAGATAGACATACCGCACAAAAGACTGATCTTATGAAAGTTTTGGTGACAACTCTTCTTTACAAATGCTGATTATTTAGGATGGTCTTGAATCTTGATGTTGTATCTCAACCTCATTCTTAAATTTAGTTGGAGTTCATTTGGATGTGTAAGAGATTCATGCAACCGTGCTATTTTTGTAGCTCTTTGCATGCTTTACAAAACCATTTATCATAAACATTTGACCATTTTTCTTTCTGTAGCTCAAAGTGTCTCTCTTCCCCTTCTCCCAACAAAAAAAGAGAGTAATTGTGTGATTTTTTTTTTGGATAACGCATGTGATGCGTTAATCCTACTACTGTTCATAACATTTTCCTTCGTTGGATCCCTTTTTCCTTTTATTAATAACTTCGGCCAAGTGGTGAGTGTTCGTCTTGAAAGAGATATTTAAATCATAATTCTTAATTCTGACGTTAAATTTTTTGTAAGAGAAAAAATTAATATAGAAAAATTAATGATTTGAGTTTGAGTATATGAAAGAAATTCCCCAATTTTTTTTTAAAAAAAAAAAAAAAAAAAAAAAAAAAAAAAAAACCACAAGCTAGCTTAAAAACATTGGATTCCGACAAACATTCCTTGGTTGTATACCATTGGAATCCATTCAGGCTGCCATATATGCAAGCACGAATAGATCATGCCCCTGCTTAAACCACTCTACCCATACAAAGATCTGCCTCTGCCACGCCCACTGCTTCAGTGAATTCCGCCACTACAGGTTCCATCGAACTACAACTTCCGATGGTCCGACTTTCTTGATCCTTCTTCAAGCGCTATGCGGGCTGATAAGCAGCCGCGCGAGTAGCAGGAGATGACTAATTATTTCTCTTTTTTTCCTTCTTCTTTTATTTAAAATAAAGAAAGGTCGCTTCATTGGTACATCACATTAGTTGGATTGTATACACACGCATATATTCATATACTATTTAATACAATTTGAAAGAATACACATCCCGCAAAAAGTCCAAAAATCTAAGAAAGTAATTACATAGATCCTGCATGCTCTACCGTGCAATTTGTCACATCATTTAGAATTTATTAACATTTAGAGATAGGGCTATTGTTGCAACCTAAAGAGCATTTAATCAAGTACAATATCTATATATATATATATATATATATATATACAAATATATATGTATGACATGTAATTGAGTCAAACATCATGATATGCATGGTAGACTGAGTTTTGGCTTGATGCATACGAATCCATCAGTCATCATATTTGGAGTAGTATTTAAGTGATATAGCTAGGAATAAAGAATAATGCAATTTATGGTATTATAATAGCTCACAATTAGATATGACGTACGAGAATGCGATTTTCTCATGATATATGCACAATCTGTTTCGTTTTTTAAACGTTAAAAACAGACCGTTTAACTCATTAAGATGGCATTATCGTGTCTGGCATTTGTCAAAAAGCAGAGTGGTTGGCACTTCAATATGGACTCGATGATATTGAAGAAGTGCCATGACATATGAGTATTGAGTTATGGTACAATCCAGTTGAAACCCTCGTTCACAAAACAA